CACTGCAGGAACTTTATCCCTTTGTACGGTATATAAAAGTTTTGGCTGGCAGAGCCAGCCCAATGGGCAGATCCCCCAGAGTTGAGTGATCAGGTGGCCTTTGCTAAATGTGTATCCCAATGTTTGCAAGTCCCACCACCCACTACTCTCAGTCTCCTCTTTACCAGTCCACTGCATTATTCCATCTTTCCTGAGGCTGGTGCATGACAGGTGTGCTGGTTTTAACACCAGCAGGAAATTAAAATCCAAATAAGTCACTCCCCTTCTCCCACTCCTTTTGGTAAGGGAGGGACAAAAAAGGAGAGACTGTCAGTTCAGATAACAATTTACTGAAAGCACACAGCAATGGAATAACAGTAATATTAAAAGCAAAAGTATACAAAAAGAGAAAGCGTTTCACCCCCAAAAGGTATTCACCACTGGGCACACAAACAAGATGGCAGGTGCTCCTTGTGGGATGTGTCTGCGTAGTGTCCCCAGATAAAGGCAATGTGGTGGGGGAGCTGCCACGTGCTGTGTCAAGTGGTATTTGGGAAATGAAGGCAATGTGCTTGGGGAGCTAACACAGCAATGTGCCAAGCCTAACATTTCCCATCCCCTCAGCCTGAAAACAATGAAAACAAGGACAAACCAAACCTCAGGAGCTGGGCCGTCCTGGTAGTGCCACACAGCCACTCCTTGAGGTTCAGTCCTGCGCAGGCCTCCTTTTCTCTCGCTTGAGAAGCTCAACCTGAGGGGGGATCACCTTGTCACCACTCTGTCTCTGCTGGCAGCTTCCCTGCAGGAGCTGTTGGTTCAGCACTGTTGTCGATTATGTTTTTCCCCTCTGTCCCTTTCAGCATCAGAGGTCCGTTGTCATCCTCCGGAGAAAACTGGAGGGGGAACCAGTGGGACAGAGGACAGAAAGCACAGGTCTGATGCTGACAGTCCCTCCACCAAAGAGAGCAAAGCAGGATGAGGCACTTTGTGTCCAGAGCCCTGGCTTTTCCTGCCCAAACCACATTCCCAGCGATGACATGGATGTGGAATAAATACCTGGTCATCCCCACACTGCACTAAACTCCACCCCCTTCTCTGTAACCAGGACACTGCAGTAACTGACAGTAGCAATGGGAATTTGATGGTTGCCATGGTAACTGACCCTGGCAATGAGAATTTAGGATGGTTGCCATGGTAACTGACCTTAGCAATGAATCTCAGTGGCACTGCCCATGGCAATGGGCTGTGGCAAAGGGTTTGATGATGGTTGCCATGGCAACCGACCATAGCAACACATGGAGGAGGAAGCTGTGATAGCACCAAGATTTGGTAATGGGGCTTTATGACAGTTGCCATGGTAACCAATCTGCATCAAGAGATTCAGTGCAGGTTGCCTCGCCACCCAACACAAGCCCTGGGTCTTTGTGCAGGTTGCCATGGCAACCACCTCTTGTAATTGGACCCAGTGGAAGTCTCCATAACAAAAGTCTTCAGCAACTAGCGCTGGAGGAAGTTACCATGGCAAACCACCATCGTGATCGGTCATTTGCTGGTTGCCATGGACACCACTGCCATAGCAATGGGTCTCTGTTTAATTGCTCATGGAACCAGTTTCCAGCAACAAGTCTTTCTAATAGTTGCCATGCCAACTGATCATATCAAAGGGTTTCAACTCACATCTCCATGGAAGCAGTCCTCAGTAATGGATTTTAACTATGGTTGCCATGGCAACCAGCTATAGCCACCAATCTCAATGAATGTTCCCACGGTAATCCAACTCCAGTAACTGGACTGTGATTGTTTCTGACCTCAGCAACCAGCTCGTGGGAATATTGCCATAGCAACTGCCATAGCTATGGGTCATCAGATGGTTTCCATAGAAACCAACCATAGCAACAGACCTGTATGTTGGTTGTCATGGCAACTGGCCCTGACCATTGGTCTCAGTGCAGGTGTGCATGGAAACAGTCCCTGGCAATGGACTGAGGGATGGCTGTCATGGCAACAGCCCTAGGTCATGAGAGACAGTTCTGGTTGCCATGGCAAGAGTCCCTGGCAATGGGCTGATGGTCCAAATACTGGTTGCTATGGCAACAGTCTTCACCAATGTCTCTCTGAGTCTGTTTCTCCAGCACTGCCCCTCACACCTGGTTCCATCGCTGATTGTGGTGCGGTATGGGGTAGAACCCAGAGAGCAAAAGGGACCAAACTCCTAGGCTAAGGCTCAGACAGTTCCATGGGGGCAGCAAAAATCAGGAACTCCTTCCCTGTTTCCCACAGGCAGGGGGGTGTTCAGCATCCCCATGTGAGCAGGGCTCCATCTCAGGGAATGGTGACTTCAGGACACAAACACCATTGCTCCCAGTGTCCCCTCCTTCCCCAGTCTGCCCTCCTTTCCCACACCTGACAGTGATGCCACATGGTCTGGGACAACACTGGGGTCAGTTGGGGTCACCTGTCCTGGCTGTGTCCCCTTCCAACTCCTGGTGCACCTCCAGCCCCCTTTGCTGGCAGGACAGGATGAGGAGCAGGAAAGGCCTTGGCTCTGGGCAGAAACAAAAACCTCCCAGAATTTTTCCCCCTGTTCCCAGCCCAGTCCCAGAGAAGCCCCCTGGAAGGAAACTAACTCCCTCCCAGCCCAAACCATCTCCCAATGCCCACCTCCCCGCACCAGGTCCCACAGGGTCAGAGCTGTGCCCCTGCCCCAGCAACAGGGCATTGGGATGGTTGCCATGACAAATGACAACCAACTTTAGCAATGGATTATTATATTGCTTGCCCTGGCAACCGACCTTTCAATAAGATTGTGGGATGGTTTCCATGGCAAACGACTCATGGAAGTGCCCAGGAGTGAGGTCTCTGGCAATGGATTTATTGATGGTTGCCATGGAAACTGCAGAAACGGTCTCCCTGCAGGTTGTCATAGCAATCGCCATACCAATGGGTCTTTTTGACGGTTGCCATGGCAACTAGACTTAGCAACAGGTCTCAGTGCAAGTGTCCATGACAACAGTCTCTGGCAATGGGTTGCTATGATGATTGCCGGGACAGCTGACCCAAGCTGCCATGGAAACGTCAGAGACCCAGAATTCCATGGCACAAGCCCATAGCAATGTGCCCTAATGCAGGTTTTCATGGCAACCAACTATCACAACTGGTCCAAATCTTGGTTGCCATGGCACCCCTTAGGAAGGGGTCCATTGATGGGTGCTGTGGTAACTGACAAGTGGTATGGGATCATAAATCGCTGCCATAGCAATGGACTCTGGCTACAGGACTCAGCTCGTTCCCATGGCAACCACCCCAGGGTGGTTGCATCTCCATGGAGCTGCCACGGGCCATGCATGAGCAACATGTCCTGGTGATGGTTGTCATGGAAACTGACCACAGCAACAGGACATTTTGATGGTTGCTTGCTAAGGAGCCAATTTGTCACAGGCACTCACAGAGGCTTCATGGTGACAACAGAGGTGTCTATGCTGTTAAGAGCTGTGATGTCCCATGCAGTGACAGGGCTTCCATGGTGACATCCCAGGGGTCTGGACTACAAACCAGATATATTTATATAAATATACATAGGATTTATTATGATAATGATTAAGTAAAAATATCTTAATCAAAATTATTTACTACCCAGTATAGGAGCTATAACAACTGTTGTAATATAGTGTCCCCCATGGGACACCTGTGCCCGCTGTTCCAACTCTTTTCCTCACTGTCCCACCACTTCCTCATCGTCCTCACAATCACCAGCTCCCTCGATAGCTTGGTTTGGGGGTATTCCCCCTCACATTGCTTGGATTTGGTGACCTAGCCCCTCCCAGCTCATTTTGATGGTCCAAAGTCCCACCTTTTCCTCTCTCTCCTCCCCTTTTCCAATAGTCCACAATCCCCAGCCATCACTGATCCTGGTTTGGGTTGTTGCACCCCTGTCCTGCTTGGTTTGGGTGTCCCACTCCCTCTTTCCCCCTGCTTTCCTACTGTCTATCCCCTTCCTGCTCCACCGAGTTCCCCTCACCCCCCGCAGCCTTGGGGGTTCCCAGCACTACCAGTCCGGCCCCAACTCCTCCCACACGGTCCATTCCCAGCGCCCGGCAGGTGCTGACACCCCAAAAGCAGCCGGGCAGTGCCGGGGGAGTCCCCAAAAGCGGTCCTGGCCCACACAGCACTGGGAGCCCAGTTTGGAGCGGGCAGGTGGCATCAGCCGTCCCGGGCAGGGTCAGGCCCCTGCCGCAGCTGCCACAATGCTAAACTGAGCCTGATCAACAGTTTATGCCTAGAGGCCCAACAGCACTTAATAGCACTTAACTGATAACTGAAGTCAAACAATTTAGCAAAGCATTCATATAGAATTTACTACACCATAACAGTAACTCACTTACAGGTCTGACCGACTTACAAATCCAAAGTGCTGAAATATCCAGTAGAGCAGCATTCCCAGGACATTTGTTATGGCAGATTCACACTCACACAGACAGAAAGAGTCTGGACAATGTACCTGGGAACAATTCCCCTGGGATTCAGGAAAATCCTCCCTTGGGATGCCATTGCACATTCTCAGAAGAACGGCTGAGCCTCAAGGAGTGGGGGGTATCAGCCCCGGATCTGCTGTCGGTCGGGATCCTCTGAGTGCAGCAAATGGAAGAGTTGGGGGCTCTGAGAGGCCCAAGCGAAGGGAGGTTGCTGTCGCAGCTGCTGTGGCCTCAGAGAGCTCAAAGGGTCTCAATTGGCACCACTGGTTATGGGGCCCACACAGAGGGGGCTTTATAGGCACAGGAATTGTCCATCCTGGCCCTAATTCAGGTTAGGGACTTTCTCTGAAAGTTGGAGAACAAAAATACAATTCCACTTGGGTTGTTCTTCAGGCAAGAAAAACAAGTTTCCAAGGCTGTTGGTTAAGAAAAGCGCAGAAGCCCGTTAGACAGCACCAGTTCCTATGAGCAGAGAGTGCTTCTGAGCAGCTCAAGAGCAGCTCAGCCCAGGGGCTGTTTATCAAGGCCACGGCCTAATGAGCATTTCTTAGATCATAGCGAGGCCTGGGGGGGGAAAGCACTACCACAGTGGGTTACAAGGAACATGGGTCACCAGAAATGTTAGTCAACAGGCCTTTACCCACCAGGTCTCTGCCCAATGTGAGTCACTGTGGATCATCCAAGATGGGTCCTCCGATGGGTGATGGAGTTGGAGCAGTGGACCAAACTTTTCCCGCAGTTGGGGCACTCGTTGGACTTGCCTTACCGGTGGGTCCTTTGGTGCGAGGTCAAGGCAGAGCTCTGGTTGAAGCTCTTCCCACACTTCAAGCACCTGTAGGGCCTCTCCCCGGTGTGGATGTGCCAGTGCTTAATGAGGTCAGAGCTGCGGACAAAGCCCTTCCCACAGTCGGTGCAGCGGAAGGGCCTCTCTTCTGTGTGCATCCGTTGATGTAGAAGGAGATCGGAGCTGGTCCGGAACCTCTTCTCACACCCAGGACATTTGTAGGGCCGTTCCCCGGTGTGGACACGCCGGTGGATGACAAGGCTGAAGCTGCGGTTGAAGGTCTTCCCACATTCCAGGCACTTGTAGGGTCGTTCCCCTGTGTGCAGCCGGCGGTGGGTGAGGAGGTGGGAGCTCTGGCTGAAGCTCTTCCCACATTCCAAGCACTTGTAGGGCCGTTCCCCACTGTGGAAGCGCTGGTGGTATGTGAGGCTGGAGCTCTTGCTGAAGCTCTTTCCACATTCCAAGCACTTGTAGGGCCGTTCCCCGGTGTGAAGACGCTGGTGGACCACCAGGTCAGAGCTCTGGCGGAAGCTCTTCCCACATTCCCCACATGTGTAGGGCCGCTCCCCAGTGTGGATCTTCTGGTGGCGGATCAGGTGGGACCTCCAGCTGAAGCTCTTCCCACATTCCAAGCACGTGAAGGGCTTCTCTCTGCTGTGAAGCTGCTCATGGACCACCAGATCAGAGCTCTGGCTGAAGCTCCAGCCACCTTCCCAGCACACGGGGGGTCTTTCCTCCTCGGAGCACCATGGAGTGGGTTTGGAGCCCTTTCCCATGGGGAATGTTTGTGGCTTTTCCTCCCCGTTGCCTTCCTGCACAGTGGAGCTGTTCAAAACAGCCTCTTCCATGAGGTTCTGCCAGGGGGATTTGTCGTCCATGGTCTCTGTCCTCAGGTTGTTGTCTGGGGGAGGAAGGACAAGGAGAGGGAGGAATAGAGGAGAGGAAGGAATGCGGAAAAGGAAGAAGGAGAAAAGGGAAAAAAGAAGAATGAATGAGGGAGAGGAAGGAACAAGTTGAGGAGGAAGCGAGGAGAGGAAGAAGCAAGGAGAAGAAAAAGGAGAGGAAGAAGCAAGGAGAAGAAAAAAGAGAGGAAGAAGGTGAGAAAGGAAAAAGAAGGAAGAAGAGGAGGAACGAAAAAGGAGAAGGAAGGAGGAGAAAAAGGTGCAAGGAGAAGAAGAAACAAGCAAAAGGAAGAAGGAGAGGAAGGAACAGGAAGAAAACAGAGTAAGGAGAGAATGGAAGGAGAAGGAAGGAGAAGAAGGAGAAGGAACAAGGAGAGCAAGGAAAAAGGAGAAGGAAGAAGGAGGGGGAGGAAAAAGGAGAAGGAAGGAAAAAGAAGAAGGAAAGAAAAGGAACAAGGAAAGCAAGGAAGGAAGGACAGGAAGGAAGAAGGACAGGGAGGGGATTTGACTCCGTGCCAGAGAGAAAGGCAAGGAGATCCCCCCAGATCCATTCCCGGCAGGACGGCGGCGGCAGTGGGGTTGTCCTGCAGCCGGGGGCAATGCTTGGCTGGGAGATGTAGGACAAAACATGGGCAAAGGGGCACTGACTTCCTCCTCACCTGCCTGGGGGTCCTGCGGCATCTTCCTCTTCCTCGCAGCCTCCTCCTCTATCTGGCCAAGCTTTGGGAAGGAGAAATCCTATTTTGGGGGAAAAACAAGGTGTGAGCGCGTTGGCTTGCCCAAGTCCATCTCTAGAAGTCACCGGGCATCTTGTGTCCACAAAAACCTCCAAAACACCAAGATTCAGCCCAACGAATATCCCCGAAACACCAAGACACAGCCCCAAAAATCCCAAAACATTATGATTCAGCTAAAAACCCCTCCAAATCATCAATACTCATCAAAAAACCTTCAAAATACGAAGAGTCATCCAAAAAAAATCCGAAAATACCAAGATTTAGCCCAAAAAACCTCCAAAACACCAAGATTCACCCCAAAAAACTCCAAAAGTTCAAGATTCAGTGAAATAAAACCCTCCCAGGGAGTTCCCCCTCTCTGGTCTCTCCACTTTGGGGTTCTGGGAGTTCCCTGTCTCCAGGTTGTAAGGGGTGCTGTGAAACACAGGGGTCCCTCCTCTCTGGTCTCCTCCCTTTGGGATTCTGGGGGCAGTCCTTCTCCAGGGTCCCCCCATTTATGGATGCTGGGGGTTTTGGGGGTCCCAGGGGTACCTTCTCCCCTCATTCTCTTCTACGGGGTGCAAGGAGTCCCAGGGGTCCCCCCTCTCTGGGGTCCTACCCTCTTCAGGCTGCTGGGGATCCTGGGAATCCTGGGGATCTCCCCTCTCTGGGATCCCTACTTTGGTGTCCCAGGAGTCTCTCCTTTCTGCGGTCTCCCCTCTCCAGACTGCTGGGGGTCCTGAGGGTCCCCTCTCCAGGGCCCCTGTTTCAGGGTCCCAGGGGTCCCCCCTCTCCATGCTCCAGGCTGGCAATGAAGGGCCTGACCCAGGAACACCAACCCCCACCGCGGGGGGGGGGGAACACGCATCCCCCCAACCCACTGCCGGGACTCTGCCAGCAGTTTTTTGGGGACCCTCAGAAAACACCAAACAGGAACCCCAATATCCCCCCAAGGGGCATTTGCAGCTCATTTTGGAGTCTTCAAAGATCCAAACATCCCCCCCCAAAAAAACCCGAGAAATCCTCCAAGACATTTGGGGTGAGCTCCCCATCCCCAAGTCACCTTTGGGATGCAGGAGGGAGGGGTGATGCTCCCGGGGGTGGAGGGGCTGCGGATACAGTCAGCAGTGGAACAGCAACCTTCCTGCTCCTTTTCCTCTGCTATCCCTGCTCTTCCTCCCACTCCTCCTCCTCCTCCTGCATTCTTCCTCCACCTGCTCCTCCTCCTCCTCCAGGCAACCCTGGCTGTGTGTATAGACTGGGAACAAGAGGCTGGAGAGCAGCTGCAGGAAAGGGCCTGGTCGGTGACCAGTTGGCCATGAGTCAGCAGTGCCCTGGCAGCCAGGAGGGCCAACCCTGTCCTGGGGGGCATCAGGCCCAGCATTGCCGGCTGGGCCAGGGAGGGGATTGTCCTGCTCTGCACTGGGGCTGCCTCACCTCGAGTTCTGGGGGCACTTTGGGGCACCACGATACAAAAAAGACATGAAGCCATAACAGAGCATCCAAAGGAGGTCATGAGGATGGGGAAGGATCTGGAAGGAAGGCCTTATGAGAAGCGGCAGGGGGCACTTGGTTTGTTCAGCCTGGAGAAAAGGAGACTGAGGTCAGACCTCAGTGGGGTCTTCAACATCCTCCTGAGGGGCAGTGGAGCGGCAGGTACTGATCTCTTCACTCTTTTGACTAGTGACAGGACTCTACAGCTGGAGCTGAGTCAGGGAGGTTTAGGTGGGATGTTAGGAAAAGGTTTTTTCCCCCAGAGGGTGATTGAGCACTGGAATAGGCTTCCCAGGGAAGCGGTCACAGCACCAGGCCTGTCTAAGCTCAAGAAGCATTTGGACGATGCTCTTGGGCACAGGGTGGGATTCTTGGGGTGTCCTGTGCAGGGCCAGGAGTTGCACTCGATGATCCTGACCCTCCCAACTCAGCCCATTCTCTGGTTCTATGAACTCCCTGCTCTGCCTTGAGACTCGGGCTCAGCCCACCCGACTCACTTCCTGGGGAAGGGCCGGATGTGCCCAAGGGAACAAAACGCCCCAAAAGTCTGTTTACACAAGAGGCTGCACCAGGGGAACGAGAAAAGGTAGTGGATCGGGTCCCCTCGCTTTCGTTGTTCTCTCTTTGCCTCTTTCTTCTCTCTTTCTCTTCTCTCTTTCCCGTCCCTGTTTCCCAGCTCCGGCCCAGCCCCGCGGCAGCACCAACGCGGGATCCAAGCCCCGGGGCCATTCTTTGTTCCCTTCCCGGCCTTTCCCCGGGCCCAGCCCGGCTCTCCTGTTCTATCCCACCCCCCGCACCGAGCTTTGGGGGGCACTGGGGGGATTGAGGGGCTGTGCTGGGCCTTGCGAGCCAGCGCCTGGCAGGAGTTTGGGGAGGGGGGAGCTCCTGGAAGTGTTGGGGACAAGAAAACACAAGAGCTCCTGACACGTGAGCGGGTCTTTGTTCTGCCTGACGGGAATTCAGAACGAACAGCACGGCCCCGACCGCTGGCTCGGGACAGGGGGCTCGGGGGTCCCCTCTCCAGGCTCCCCCCTCTCCAGGACCCAAGGGATGAGGACACGAAGGGGCCCCAATGGAACCCCCTTCCCGCTGCCCCACCTCCCCTTATCTCCCCTCTCCCACCCCTTTCCTATCGTTCCTCCAAACCCCGGCTCCCCCCCGGCTCCCCCCCGGCTCCCTTTGAGGGTGACCCACCCTCTTTCTCGCTCAGTTTGGGGGCCTCACCCGCTCTTTTCCCCCCTCTCCCCTCTTTCCCATCGTGTCCCCCCCGCCGCTCACCCGAGAGCGCCTCGCTCGTGCGGAACGAACAGGAGGAGGAGCCGGAGGAAGAGGAAGAGGAGGAGGAAGGGGAGGAGCATCGCCCCCTCCCCGCCCCGCATCGCTTAGGTGACCGGGGAGGGGGAGCTCGCCCCAAATATCTTGGGGGTGTCTGTTTGTTTTTTTTCCTGGGAAGCGGTTGGGGATGTTTGGATCTTGCAGGACCCCAAAGCTGAGCCGCAGATGGGGGTCCTGGGGGTAACTGGGAAGGGGTTTGGGGGAGTTTTGGGGCAACTGGTACAGACTTTAGGGGGTCCTGGAGGCAACTGAGAGGCAACTTTGGGGGTCCTGGGGGTACCTGGGAGGGAGTTGAGGGTAGCCAGGAGGGGGACTAGGGGTGTGATTTGAGCAAATGGGGAGGATGAGAAAGGGGTTTGGGGGCTCCTGGGCAGTCCGGGAAGGGACGGGGGCAGGGTTTGGGGACTCCTCAGGGGACCAGGGACAACAGGGAGAGTGATTGGATGGTGCTGGAGGGGCTAGGAGGGGGTTTGGAGATTCCTAAGGGAGCTGGGTAGGGACTTGAAAGAGGTTTCAGGAGTCCTGGGTGGGCTGGGGGCGACTAGGTAGAAATTTAGGAGGTCATGGGGGGGTCTGTGAGATGTTTTGGGGGCTCCTGACCCCCCCGGGCCCCCCAGAGATGCTGCTGGACACCACCCACAGCAAGATGCTGATGGGGGTTGGGGGCTTCATGTTGGGCTTCATCTTCCTGGCACTGGGACTCGGCTTCTACCTGCACCAGAAGGTGAGGGGGGTCCCCAGGGGTCATGTCCTTCTCTCCCCAGAGTGTGTGTGCCCCCCCAGGGGACCCCCAGCCCTGATGTCACCCACTTTTCTCTCCCCCCAGAGATCCTGAGCCAGCGGTGGTCGCAGTCCCTCCCCATGGCCTCGGGCCCAGACTGGACACCCCCTGTCCCCCTGCTGATTTTGGGGGGCATCATGTGTCCCCCCCTTCCCCATTGTCTCTCTGCCCCTACTCAGCTGCTCCCAGTGGCCCCAGTAAAGCTTCCAAGTTCTTCCCAGTCCCAGTTTTTGGGGGGTAGTGGGGGGCCTTGGGGCAAACAAATAATGCCAATATCACCATGGGAGTCTCCTCTAGACCTCCCAGCCAGGACAATGACACCGATGGATTATTCTTTGAGGAGCTAAAGGACACTTCCAAGTCAACTGCCCTTGTCCTCATGGAGGACTTCAACTTGCCAGAAATTAATTGGGAGCATCACACAAATGAAAGAACCCAGGCCAGAATATTCCTTAAAAAACCTGGATGACAATTTTATGGCACAGATCCTGGAGGAGCTGACTTGGAAAGATGCCCTCCTTGATCTGCTACTTGTCCACAGAGAGGATCTTGTGAGCAAAGTGGAGATTGGGGCCATCTTGGCCACAGTGACCTCAAAGTGATCAAGTTAAAAATCTCTGTTGACAGGAGAAAAAGTGCCAACAAAACCTCAACTCTGGACGTGAGGAGAGCAGACTTCAGGCTGCTCAGGGAATTAGGAAGTAAGGTCCCCTGGGAAAATGCTTTTGCAGGTGCTGGGGGCCATCAGTGCTGGTCACTTCTCAAACATCACCTCCTAAGGGCACAGGAGCAGCAATTCCCAAATGTCAGAAGTCAAGCAGGTGAATCAGAAGGAGGCTTGGCTGAGCAGGGATCTTGTCTTGGAGATAAGGCAAAAAAGGAAGGTGTGTGCCCAGTGGAAGCAAGGTCAGGTGACATAGGAAGAATTCAGAGATGCTGTTTGGCACTGTAGGGAGAAAAACCATGTGGCCAAAGCTCCCCTCCCCTTCAAACCACCAGGAGCCCACTCACTCCCCCTGTGCTCACCACCCCTTGCACAAGCCCCAGAAGGACTCCTGCCAAAGCCAAGGCCTGCAGGGCACACACACAGGGCCTTGCCTGGGGCTGGCACACAGGGAGCTGACACTGCTTTGGGGCAGCGGGGGCAGGAGCCTCAGGGATGTGGTCCTGCAAAGACAGGGGCCCAGGCAGCTGGGGCTGGTCCTGCAGGGGCCTTTCTGCCTGGGCCCTGGGCTGGCCCAGCCTCCTCCCCCCTGCACACTCCCCCACAGCACAGGCCTCACTGGGGCATTTGCTGCTGGGGCCCTGCAGAGCTCCCCCGTGGGAACACCTCCTTTGTGAGCTCCGGGATGATCCTCTCTGCCCAGGAGTGGCCCCTGGCAACCAAAGAACCAAAACCCCACACCCCCACACTGCAACCCCACCCGTGTGCAGTGGGCCTCCAGGGCTTCCCTTGACAAAGCACCCCCTCCAAACTCTTGCCAGATAGAAAATGGGAGGACACCACACAGGGATGCTTTTAGGAAATAAGTGCAAGCTTATCTTGACTACTGGGGGGGTGTAATTTTTTATTGTTAATGTTCTGAGTTATCCATTTGGGGGTTGGATGTCCTAAAGGTACTGTTGTGTTCCATTTGGAGGAAGAAGTATTTTTCAAAGAAATCCGGGCTGCATGCATGATACAGAGGAAGCTGTCAAGCCTTTGACCTACTTCTAGAAAGTTGTGAAAGAACAACTACCAAGCCAGGGCAGCACCTCCAGGGCCATGAATTTCTGTTCCCCCTTTCCCTTTCTCTTTCCCTTTCCCTTTCCTTCAAAAATTCCAGGTATTGGGAAACACATAAATAGCCAGGAGACAGAGAAGCTAACTAAAAAAATAAACTTCTATTTGAATAAAAGGGAGTGGTCACTGAAAAAATCTCAGTGAGATCCATCAACTCAGTGGAGGCATCAACCTCTTTTATCCCCTTTGCCCCGAGCGCTGGTCCCTCCCCGTTTCTCCATGGACTGAGATACTCAGGGGTTACAGGCTTCCTGACACACCTCCTGTATGTCCCCTGTTATGTGCTTATTGGGTGGCCCTGAAGTCACTGACATGGTTCAAGAAGAGACCACAGCACTTCAGACTGCAGGACATGGCCACAGGATCCTTCTGTGCTGCTGGTTGGTGCCCTTGTCTCTGGGCAA